GCAGTGACACCGCAGTGCAGCAGTGACACCGCAGTGCAGCAGTGACACCGCAGTGCAGCAGTGACACCGCAGTGCCGCAGTGACACCGCAGTGACAGCTTCGCTCCCAGGCGGCCTTCACCTCGCCCTTCGTCGATCAGTCGATCACTGGCTCTGTGCGGCTGTGAGCGCACAGGTCCTGCGTCTGACCATGCGCTCTGCCAGGCCATCACCAAGCTTCCCCAGGCCGCAGCGAGCGCAGCCTGATGGTTCCATCCTCCCGGATTTCCCCAGGCTCATCGCAGAAAACCCACCACGAAGCCCGAAGGTGGAAGTTTCCATAGTGGAAATTTATAATAACGACATCTACGACCTCCTGGCCAAGGACGGTTGCACGGCGGTGACCGGCGTCAGGCGCGGAGTGGTGACCACACCGGAGGGACGGACGGAGGTGCCCCTGCTGACCTGTGTGTGAGTCCTCCTGCGGCCCGGGCAGGGCGTGCTGCACGCCGGTGCACGCCGGAGCACACAGCCTGGGCGGGAGAGTCCCAAAGAACTGGACGTGGAGCTGTGGCTCAAGTGGTAGAGCACCAGCCTTAAGCACAAAGGCTAAGGGTCATTACTAGGCTGAGCTCAAGCCGCAGCCTGGGCGCATACGCAGAATGCGGGTAGAGCCAGGCGTGAACAGCAGCATGGCAGCCTGGACAGTTTTGCAATCGTGTTATTCCAGGACAGCCCGTTAGAGCCGCCGCAGGGCACACACAGGAAGTGGGTGTCTGTGAGGTTTGTTGCACCGCCACTGCTCCATCCACTTCCCTGAAGTGGGGGCTCGGCCCACCTGAAAGGCACCTGAGCACGAGCCGAAGCGCCCCGGGAGCCGGAGACGGCGCGGCTGCCCCGCAGCTCAGGTGGGCCGTGGGCCTCGTCTCTCAGTGTCCTCTAACCCTCTGCAGGACCGTCACCAGTGCCGTGGAGTTCCTGGGCCTCATCCACGGAGGTCTGCAGCTGCGGGTGACACATCCCACACTGGTGCATGCAGACTCCTCCAGGTCACACCTAGTGGTCATGGCCACGCTGACCACGGCTGCTGTGCCGGGCAGCACTGGTGAGTCACCATGGGTACCAGGTCCGTGCGCGGAGTGGATGGCCACGAGAGAGAGAGAGAGAGAGAGGATTACAGGGTCCAAGGCCAGGACCTGAGCCTGTGTGCCACAGCCACGTCGGAGCTCACACCCCGGAGGCCCCAGGAGCCCAGGCTGAAGTGGGGGGGGGTAGGAGCGGAGGAGGGCAGGAGGAAAACAGGGTGCGTGCACTTAGACTTCATCTTTCACAAATGAAGCTCTCCGGGGCATTTCATTGTAATAGAAGGCACAAACTGTCGGTAAAACGTTCCAGGCCATCCAGGCAAAGGCCTGTGAGGTCCAGGCCAGGCCCTGGTGCTTCAGCTACCTGAGTGACCTTCCGGGCACCCCGGAGGGCAGCTGTGTGGGTGGGGGAGGATGGGAAGCGGCGTCTGCAAGTTCGCAGCACCGCACGCCACCCTGGGGCGCGGGCTCCGGCCTCCACAGCTCCCTGCAGGGACCCTGGCCTGGAGGCCCACACCTCCACTAGCTGTCACATCAGGGCCACTGTGGGCACCTCTGAGGCCACGTGTGGCCTCTGTGGACATCCTCTAGGTTGCAGGGACAGGGTCGTGGCATAGTGGTGACCGGGCCCCGTGGCTGTGTCCAGGACTCGGCCCCCCGAGGGTCGGGCCCAGAGCAGCCGCAGCCACCGCAGTGCGGTGGGAACACGCGTGGGTTTGACGCGCCCCTCGGTCGGGGCCGACACGGGTGCTGTGGAGTTGCTGCACTTTTTTGTTCTGCACAGTATTTGTTGTTTAGGGGAAACAATGATTTTCAAGAAGTTTGCTGAGAAACAGCACAGGGAAACTGTCAGGTGGGGGTCAAGGAAGCACTCGCGCAGGTGACCCGTCTAACACAGGCGTCCCTTGCTGGGGCGGGGCAGGAGCTGGCCCTCCCACGGCGGGCCCTGCCCTCCTCCTCTTCCTCGTCTTCTTCACTCTGGCAGCCTAGCAGCTGCCCCGTCTTTTCTCTCTGAGGAGGAGCGGCGTCCTGAGGGTGCAGTTTTGGCTCTCTGCCCTGACCTTTGTGACCTTTGTGACCTTTATTCCCACCAGGCCCCCAGCCCGGCCCAGCCACCCGCCGGGAGCCGGCCGGGCCCGCGAGGAGGCAGCATGTCTTGCAGGCGTCGCGTCCGCGGTGCGGCCTCGCCAGTGTGCCGGGCCGCGGGGGACGGGCGCAGGCGAGGCTGCAGCTGGTGGACCTGGCCGGGAGCGAATGCGTGGGTGAGCGGTGGGCGTGGGCGCCCGGGCAGATGCAGCTGGCCCAGCTTTGCAGGCTCGGAGCGCCCCAGCTGGCTCCGTGGTGGGCGAGGGTGGGGCCCTGCGGTGGGGAGGAGGTCCCACCGCTCCGTCCTGGAGTTAGGCTGCTCCTAACGGAGCCTCAAATCTAGAGCCGGGGCCTCGGAGCCCCGCGCTGGCCTCAGAGGAGCCCGCAGGCCACGCCGAGCGCCCCCACGGCCAGCCATGCGCGTCCTGGCTCCTGTGTGGCACGCGGCGCCGTGGCTGAGTGCTGCACCCTCCAGGCGCATCTGGGGTGACAGGCGTGGCTCTGAGGGAGGCCTCATCCATCAACCGGAGCCTCGCGGCCCTGGCCGACGTCCTGGGGGCCTTGTCCGAGGGCCGCAGCCACGTCCCGTACCGGAACAGCAAGCTCACCCATCTGCTCCAGGACTCCATTGGTTTGTTCTTCCCCAAGGCCCCGGGCAGAGGGCTGGTGGGGGGGAGCCTGGGGGGCTGCGCCCTGCTGTCCCCACTGCCCGCTCTGTGGTCTCTGCAGTGTTACCCCCTTCTCAACCCCCCACGCCCTCCCTGGGCAGTGTCTGTGCTTCACAAGCTCATCCCCGCCTCTGTCAGGCCTGGAAGGTTCCTGGGATGAGGAAGGCTTGAGTGATGGCGGGTGCAGGGGGTCCTGGAACCCCCGTCCTGGGTCTCTGTGCCCAGAGCAGTGGCCGCACCAGGCGAGGCCACCACAGGTGGCCTGCGGTCCCACGTGCCCTGGTGTCTGCTGGTTGGGCCTCCTCCTCCCTCCTCAGCTCCGTGGTCCTCTCCCTCCTCCCTCCTCTGCCCCGCGGTCCTCTCCCTCCTCTACCCCGTGGTCCTCTCCCTCCTCCCTCCTCTGCCCCGCGGTCCTCTCCCTCCTCCCTCCTCTACCCTGTGGTCCTCTCCCTCCTCCCTCCTCTGCCCCGCGGTCCTCCCCTCCTCAGCCCCGTGGTCCCGCCGGTCTTTGCAGCCTGTGTCCAGCTCGTTCCTTTCTCCAGGGGGTGACGCGAAGCTGCTGCTGCTGCTGTGCGTGTCCCCGGGGCAGCGGCACGCCGCTGAGACGCTGCAGAGCCTGGGCTTCGGGGCCCGAGCGCGGCAAGCCAGGCGAGGAGGCGCCGGGAAGACGCCCTCCCGCTCCCCGGAGGATCGAGTCCCCCCCTCGGGACGGGCCCCACGCTCTGTTCCACGCCGGGCGCGTGGGCCCGAGAAATAAATGCAGACACGCCGCATGGATTTGGGATCCCCGTGTGGCCTCCGGCCCGCGGTGAGGTGGGCAGAGACCCAGGGGCGCAGGCGGCTGGGGGAGAGTCGGAGTCCGTCTCGTCTATCCCTCCGCCTGCAGGCTGGGGTGACGGCTGAGGCTGGGGGAGAGTCGGAGTGCGGCCTGTCCGTCCCTCCGCCTGCAGGCTGGGGTGACGGCTGAGGCTGGGGGGGAGTCGGAGTCCGTCCCGTCCGTCCCTCCGCCTGCGGGACAGGGGTGACGGCTGAGGCTGGGCCTCCCAGGCCGGCGGGCGGAGGCCGGGCAGAGCCTGAGCCCCGGCGCCCCGCAGAACCCCTGCTCACAGGGAGGCGCCGGCGGGCGCAGTGACCGTGGCCCCATCTGAGGCCCCGCGGGTCGAGACCCAGGCCATAGTTGGGGTGTGAGCCCCCCAACACGGAGGCAGGGAGCCTGTCTGTCCGCACGTGGTGCCTGCTGCGCCGCCGGCGTGAGGAGGGGGAGGCGCGTCACCGAGTCACGCCGCCATCACCGAGTCACACTGCTGGGGGAGGCGCGTCACCGAGTCACGCTGCCATCACCGAGTCACACTGCCGGGGGAGGCGCGTCACCGAGTCACGCCGCCATCACTGAGTCACACTGCTGGGGGAGGCGCGTCACCAAGTCACACTGCTGGGGGAGGCACGTCACCGAGTCACGCCGCCGGGGGAGGCGCGTCCCCGAGTCACGCTGCCATCACCGAGTCACACTGCTGGGGGAGGCGCGTCACCGATTCACGCCGCCATCACTGAGTCACGCCACCGGGGGAGGCGCGTCACCGAGTCACGCCGCCGGGGGAGGCGCGTCCCCCGAGTCACGCTGCCATCACCGAGTCACACTGCTGGGGGAGGCGCGTCACCGAGTCACGCCGCCATCACCGAGTCACACTGCCGGGGGAGGCGCGTCACCGAGTCACACCGCCATCACTGAGTCACACCGCCGGGGGAGGCGCGTCACCGAGTCACGCTGCCATCACTGAGTCACACTGCTGGGGGAGGCGCGTCACCGAGTCACGCCGCCGGGGGAGGCGCGTCACCGAGTCACGCTGCCATCACCGAGTCACACTGCCGGGGGAGGCGCGTCACCGAGTCACGCTGCCATCACTGAGTCACGCCGCCGGGGGAGGCGCGTCACCGAGTCACCCTGCCATCACTGAGTCACACTGCCGGGGGAAGGCGCGTCACCGAGTCACGCCGCACTCCTTGCTCAGAAGACACTGGGCGCTGCGTCCATTTCCAGCAGGCTGGCCAAGCAGCCGGCGCGCACACAGGCGTGCTGGGCACCTAGGGCCTGGCACCGGTGGTCAGCCCACAGACAAGCCCCGTGGACTCCTTCCCCGCCCTCCCCCTGCCCCTGCGCGGCCCCTGGATCACGGGGTGGTAGCACGGTTCCTGGCCTCGCTGCGCCAGGCTGGCTTCCTGCCTGCGGGGCGAGGAGGCTGCCGGGACAAGGTGGCAGGGGGCAGCAGACCTCCCCGGGGGGCCCGCAGACAAGGCCTGGAAGGAGCCCTGGCTCCGAGCAGGGGCGTTCCTGCCCCGCAGCTGCTCAGGACCCGGGACCTCCTCCAGTGCCCCACAAGGGGAAGCTGGGGCTGGCTCTCTGTCATCAAGATGTGGACCGCATGTCAGTGCAGTGTAGAACAGGTGAGAACAGGCGTGAGCTGAGATGGGGCAGCAGAGGACATGCGGGTCAGCGGGGGACATGCGGGTCAGGAGGGGACACGCAGGTCAGCGGGGGACATGCAGGTCAGTGGGGGACACGCAGGTCAGCGGAGGACACGCAGGTCAGCGGGGGACATGCAGGTCAGCGGGGGACATGCAGGTCACTGGGGGACATGCAGGTCAGTGGGGGACACAGGTCAGTGGGCGATATGCGGGTCAGGAGGGGACACGTGGGTCAGTGGGGGACACACGGGTCAGTGGGTGATATGTGGGTCAGTGGGGGACACAGGTCAGCGGGTGATATGCGGGTCAGGAGGGGACACAGGTCAGAGGGGGACACAGGTCAGTGGGCGATATGTGGGTCAGTGGGGGACACAGGTCAGCGGGTGATATGCGGGTCAGGAGGGGACACAGGTCAGTGGGGGACACGCGGGTCAGGAGGGGACACAGGTCAGTGGGGGACACGCAGGTCAGTGGGGGACACAGGTCAGTGGGCGATATGCGGGTCAGGAGGGGACACGCGGGTCAGCGGGGGACATGCAGGTCAGTGGGTGATATGAGGGTCAGGAGGGGACACGCAGGTCAGTGGGGGACACGCGAGTCAGCGGGGGACACGCGGGTCAGCGGGGGACATGCAGGTCAGGAGGGGACACGTGAGTCAGTGGGGGACACGCGGGTCAGCGGGGGACACGCGGGTCAGCGGGGGACACGCGGGTCAGCAGGGGACATGCAGAGGGAGGGCCTGTGGTCCTGAGGAAGCCGCGGTCCTGGAGGGCCTGGTGGCGCTTTGTCGGCACTGGGGTGGGTGCAGAGCCAGCAGCCCTTGCCAGGGCCCTGGCCCAGACTCCGGAATCCTTTCTCTGGGCCAAAGGGGACAGGAAAGGACCCCAAGGCTGCTGTCAGGAGGAACGAAAGCACCTCATTGTGAGAAGGAAGTGGGGTCTTGGCCTCCCAGGGTGGCCGTGGAGACACCAGCCAGCTGCTGGCTCAGGCTGCGCTTGGCTGACCTCCCACCCCGGTGCGGGGCCCAGGGCAGCTGGCTGAAGTCCCAGGCACGCTGCAGTCGTAAACCACGCCAGGCCGCAGGATGCCGTCTAGGCTGCAGCAAGGGCCTAGGTCCTCTGTCATCCGGACGCTGGCCCTCTGGTGAGAGAGAGCCAGCATTGCTCGCCCAGGCAAGAACCTCTCACCATAGGCCATTCATCCACGTTCACCCACAATCATCCACGTTCATCCACACCCATCCACGTTCATCCACGTCCGTCCACATTTGTCCACACTCATTTGTTCACTCTGTCCGGCCTTCATGGGAGGCCTGCCCTGCGGCAGGCGTGGCAGGGCAGTGGGCTGCCGTGGTAAACGTACAAGCTCTGTCCAGGAAGACTCCAGGATAAGGACGGGACAGAGGTGCGCATGTGTTTGCCCTGCCACGAGGGTCACAGCATGGGTTGCAGCACATGTTGTGGTCTGAATGTGTCCCCCAGGGAACCCGTGGGAGCTCAACTCCAAGGTAACAGCTCATGAGGTGGGGCTTCGGGAGGGCCTCTGCGCGTGGCCCTGTGTGTGTTCCCGTGTGGCCCTGTGTGTGTTCCCGTGTGGCTCTGTGTGTGTTCCTGTGTGTATGTTCTTGTGAGTGTGTTCCTGTGTGTGTGTGTGGTCTTCTGTAAAATCAGAGGGTCCGCCAGAGTTTCCGGGGTCTGTGTGTCATTCCTGGGGTGTGACAATGATCACCCTGTGCTCGTGGGGGTCCTGGCCATCCCGCAGGGGGCGCCCCAGAGCTGGGCCCAGGTGCAGGCGGCCTGTGCTTGTTGGCCAGGACGGGCCTGAGGCAGGTGCTCGAGGTGTGAACTCAGCGACTCAAGGACAACGGGCCACACCTGGGCGGCCCCGCCCCCGCGCCCAGCCCCGCCCACGCCACCACCCGCAGCAGCTGTGTGAACGCGTCAGATTCCTGCCACGCCGAGCTCCCGCGTCTCCTCAGGACAGACGGAGACCCACCAAGCAGACAGCAAGCAGACAGCCCAGGTAGGAAACCCACGATGCTTGAGAAGCCATGTCTCTGCAGCACGCCGAGCCTTTCTGACGCAGGAAGACCTGGTGGTGGTTTGTGTGCGCGCGAGTGCAAATAGCTGTATGTCGTAGACAAAGAAAATGCTTGTGAGCTGGCTGCTCCCACTCGACCTGCTGGCTTCCCGAGCCTGTCCGGGGCCTTTATCCGCTGGAAAAGCCCCGAGAAGTCACCGGGACCCCAGGTGGAGCATGTTAGACAAGCAGGGGCGAGGGTTTGTGCTCCACAGTGGAAAGGCTGGCCATGGAGGGCTGGCCACGCCAGTGTGGGCAGGGGAGGGGAGGGGAGGGCTGGCCACGCCAGTGTGGGCAGGGGAGGGGAGGGGAGGGCTGGCCACGCCAGTGTGGGCAGGGCACCTTGGTTTCCCAAGGCTGATGATTAAACTGCTCAGAAGTTACAGCCACTACTGCATGTCCCCGTGCCGCTCTGTGTCCCCGCGCCACTCTGGGTCTGTGTCCCTGAGCGTCATGTGGCCCTGCATGTGAGACTCTGCCTTTCCAGAAGAAACGAGAGGAAGCTCCTGTCCAGGTCCTTGTCCGAGGAGGGCTGGAGGAGCGCGGAATGTGGACGGGGGAGGCGGCGGGGCTCGGGCCGCTCCGCCCCAGGGAGAGCCGCCGGGCCAGCGGGGCGGCCTGCTGAGCATGGGCCTCTCCCCCACTGAAAGGCCTGCGGAGGCCAGGCGGGGACCAGTGTGGGGCTGGGACTCCCGAGGCTCCTGTCCAAGGTGTGGAGCTGGCCATAGTTGGGCGGATCCCAGCCCTGGTGAAAACCCAGGGCTTGGGGTGCCGGCCCAGGACATGGGGTGCTGGCCCAGGACATGGGGTGACCCTCTCACCCCTGCCCAACCGGGGCTTCTTCCCGAGCCTTGAAGGCTCCTCACCCTCTGCTACCGCATGGCCCTGTGCCAGGCCTGCCCGTGTCCACGCGGATGCACCAGGACGGAGCTGGCCCGCTTGCGGGGCTGACCCTGGTGTTTCTCCTGGGGGCAGGCCCTGGGGTCTGCGGGCCGCGGCTCTCAGGAGTGGGGGTGATCCCCTGTGACTGGAAGTGGGGAGGGGACGGAGGGTCCAGGAGTCGTGGTGGGCCTGGCAGGGGAGGGGTCTCCAGTTGCTGGTGCTTGAGACCTGGAGGAGACAGGAGGAAGTCCAGCTGTGTGCTTGGGGAGGGGCGGGGGGGGCTAGGATCCTGGGGAGAGGGGAGGGAGCCTCCTGCTCTGCCCACCTGGCTGGTGGACCTCCCTCAGACCCGCCCTGCGTCTCTCCTCGTGGGGCCTGAACTCTGGGCCTGGGCGCTGACCCTGCACTCTCCAGCTCAAGGCGAGCGCTCTGCCACTTGAGCTGCGGTGCCACTTCCGGTTTACTGGTGGTTTATTGGAGAAAAGAGTTTCACGGACTTTCCTGCCCGGGCTAGCTTTGAACCGTGATCCTCAGAGCACAGCT